GTTACCAACATCTGGTGAAAATTTCATGTCATTAGCACCTCTAGTAATATATTTACTGAGAAAAATGGTGACGTGTTCAATACTTATTTTACCCGCTGTAATTCTGCGATTCCGTCTGCGTTTCTTTAACAACTTATAAATGAAGTGGAGCAGGAGGAGGTGGATTCTGATTGGCTGCTATCGCTCACATTTCCACCATGTTTGATTGAGTAAAGAGGCTCACAGCTGATCACTGTGATCAACCTGAAATTTTTCACGATCAATAATTACGATCAATAATTGCCCAGGCCTAACACAAAGTCAAAGGAGAAAAAAGCCAACAACAGCTCATTCAGACAATAAGATAAAAAATTTTAGGGCTGCAGCTAACGATTATTTTAGTAATCGATTAATCTATCAATTATTCTGACGATTAATTGAGTAAAAGGATATAAAAAATATGTCATGTTGTCATATGCAGTAATTATTTAATTTTATTTTATTAGAAATACAATTGTTTAATATTGTGAAGGGGTAATATACACCTGATGACCCTGCTGCAATCAAAGTAAAATTACACCAGTTGTATTAATTAATGCATTTTAAACTCCATTTGTTTGTATTTATGTATGTAAGGTTTGAGGAGACATTAATTAAAAGCACTCTGTCACTGAATCATTTTTAACCATCACTGAAAAATCTAAATGCTGTAAATTTATTATGGATTGGAAAATTGAATGTCTTTTTTTGTTAGAAATTTAATAAGTAAAATGGTTAATATTGAGTTTTGTAGAGTTCACGTGTTATTTGTAATAAAAAAATATTTTAAGACTCTACTACGTGTTCCAAACTACTAGACACTTTTTTACTTTTTATGTCTGTACAGACATACCTTTCATGTTTCGACGTGCACGGACGCGTTCGGGTCATGCAGCCGCTGTTTTTGTTCTGGTGCAGAAACACTGAGGATGTGCAGAGCGTTGCGCGTTGTCGTCTTTTCTGTTTAGTTTTAAATGTTCCCATGCTTGTCAGTGTGCATTGCCAATGCAATACACACTATTGTGATTCGTTTCTCATCCAAGTCATCTCCACTTTGGCATGCTTCTCCTCCTGCATACTTTGTCCTAGAGCTGCCATTGTAATTTATATCTGTAAAGCCCCTGTGCCAAATGATGTCTATGCCTTTTGGTACCTGTAAAACTTATAGTTTTTGAAACATTAATGTTTAATAATTTATAATGGGAGTCAATGGAGCCTTGTATTGGTCCAATACTGCCCCTGCTGTATATAATCAGTACTGCACCATAGTTTAATAATATTTAATCTCAATAGTTCAGTGTTTGCAATACTAATATGATTGTGTTTTGATGTTTTACTAAAATATTGTCCTAATATTGCTTTATTGTTGTAATATTTTTCAAATTAGTGACAACCATTACATTGGCAATGTGGCCACTTTCTGCACACATACAAACCAAACCCTGGCCTCGTCCTCTACCACAGCTCCAACGGTCTCATGGTTAGTGCCATGGGCTTTCATGTGGGAGATTACGGTTTGAAATCCAGCAGCAGCAACTTTAACAGAAAATCTCTACAATCATCATACTGTCACACAATTACCTTAATTACAAACACCTGCTGACATGACAAGCACAAGCTGGTATAGAAAACACATTTGAACTTGGTCACATTTCATTCTGCAAGTCCACTGCTGCAGGTAAAGACATGCAGCAAAGCCATGCTACAAGGCAATGYACACCTGTTTTTACATCGTAAAAACCCATGTCTAGTTATAATTTGTYGTTTTCTGAGTGCTTCGTTTCGTCACTCTTCATCTTCTTCTGAAGCTAAATATAGCGTTTAGCAAGCATACGTGTGACGCGTCGACAGTCCGAGGTCCTGTTTCTTGCCGGGCTGTTTATTGTGCGACACCGAGTACGCATACGCGGACATAAAAATTTTTTCTCTGCGTGGTCCAGTCCGGCGGATGTCTGCTTTGGCTGCAGCGAGGTGTACTTGTACCCGAGGCCAACCATATACTTGTGCTAGAGTCCGCTCGGACCTCCGCGTACTGAAGTACGCCAGAGTATGTGGGAGCCTTAACTGTTAGCGGAAGCGCTAACATCGTAGCATTGTGTGTAACACAAATAACATTCCGGGCGGAATAAAGTGCGCTGATTATAACGTATTTTTTTCGAAGCTTCGAGGCGGATAAATTTGCCTCGAGGATTTTTTGTAATCGAATTACTCGAATTATTCGAGGAATCGTTTCAGCCCTAAAATGTTTAGTTGTTAAAGTTCAGGTCTGTTTACCAACTGATTCAGACATCAACTCTCCATACATGTCAAGTACAGAYTGTCAGTGATTTACATCAATTTGACCCATTTTGTGGGTATATGAAAGTTTCGAGCAATCTGACAGATTTTTTCCAAACATCTGTCCATTATCTGGAGTTGGGTTGTAGCAGCTTGAACAGGGAAGCCCAGACCTCTCCTTCCACAGCCCCCTCAGCTCTTCAGAGGGGATTCCAAGGTGTTCCAGGCCAGTCGAGACAGACAGTGTTTTACCAAACACAAGTCTTCAAATCTATTTTACATCTTCAGAAACTGTAGGACGTGTAAAGAAAAAACAATAAATAAAATTAAATAAGCATCTCCCAAGCTGCTCTGCTACTAGAAATAAGTTCTCCACTTCTTCCCGTCCTCCTCCTGCTCCTCCCTGCTGCAGGTGTTGTTATCTCTGCCCCGTGTTCTGSCTTCAACCTGCTTCTCAGCGCCCACGGTTCGATCGCATGTGATCTAACTTGACTTTTTGCTTGGAGGAGTGTGTGTGTAAGAGTGTGTCTGTGTGTGGGTAAAGGAGCAGTTATGGTTTAATTACTTTACTAAAATAAATGAGTGTATTGTTACCCATCGGGGAAGATAACAGGCATCCCAAGTCTGTCAAGCAGAGTTTTCCCTGCAGCATCAACTTCATCGAGGCACTCCATCTCCACACACTCCTGTTGCAACACCTGAAACAGTCAGAATAATACGAGACAAATACTGTAAAAAACTGTATTTTTTCAGGACAGCAGTACATAGTTGTGATGGTCTGATTTTTCTAAATAGTCTCTACAAAGTCAGCATCATTTTTGAGTCATCAGCTGTTAGAGTATGTTTTGATTGTTTAAAAAAATTCCCAGTGATAACAGTATATTTTCCAAAAGAAAAAACTTCAAATGACCAGGGGCCTCATGTATAAACGGTGCGTACGCATAAAAAAGTTGTGTGCGCCATGGTCTGTCCGTGGAGATGACAGCGCTGCTGTAAAGCAGGAGCAAAGGAGAGCAGAAAAAGTGGATAACTTGATGCTTTTTTTAACGTCCGTTCAACGCTGTGTTCAACTAAATATACAACAACTAACCAGCTTTAACATCACATTCAGGAGATGTCTGTAAATTTCAGGAGAATCTCAGACTTTGGTTATCCTGTGTGAATGCACCACATAAAACAATGTCACCCCACTACTTATTTAGACAGTTTTCTCACTCTTTCTCCATTTAATGTATAATTTTCCTGCATCTAAAAATCATTTCTGATCCCACAGAGAGGACAATCTGAGGAGAATCTCACAC